CCATATTCCTTAATGTTTGTCAGTTTATATGTTTTATAGCTCTACTTTAAATGCTGAAAATGGCTCTACATTCAGCCATCATCAGCATACAATAGCTTAATTAATAAATTAATTGAGCTATTGTATGCCCTTTATTAATAAATGTCTGTCAATTATCTAAATCAAATATGGCACTATCATTGAGATAAACATTATACATTTTCATGCTAAAATATTTCCATTTGTAATTATATAAAATTTTAACAGTTTGTAACAAAAAATGTGTTTACCTTACATTTTTTCATAATGTAGTTGAGAAAAAAATTTTGTTTCAGAAAATATTATACTGGACATGCATAATGAATGCATATAGAATTTAACAAATTTATGTTTATAAAATAAAGAACTTTATTTTTAAAGGCAAATAACATATATAAAGTATGGTAATCGATCAAGAAATGATTACCCAAGATTTTTGGACTCGGAGCGTTGAAACGCAAAAGATTTGGGGATTTTTTTTCTGTATATATGAATGTTAGTATGTATGGGGGCACGATTTTGTTAACCCATTTCGAAGCTTAATAACTCCTGTGTTTTTAGTCGAAAATATCCGAAAATTTTCAGGGAGGTTTGTGTGTTAGGGCGAAATTTCTCTAGAAACTTTCAGGAAAATCGAATCATTAATTCGGGAGATATGGCCCCCTTAATATCTCCCGAACAAATTTCAAGATTAAAAGGTAATGTAATTATTATTAGGGATGAAAACAAATAAAGAATAACTGAAAAGTCCAGCAACAATATTGCCAACTTTTTAAATTTAGTAATTAAAGCAACTTTTTAATTTTTTACAAAAATACATAACTTATTTCAGAATATAAATGTATTACCATGGTTTAAATCTTTGAAAAATTTTAAATTTTAGTTTCTAAANAAATCCGTCTTCTTGCGCTACCAGAGGGCCTTTTAAGCAATAGGTAGTCTGTTAGCGTTGGTCAGTAGTAGTCCAAATTCAATACGAACGTTTGTTTCTTGAAAATTTGATCATGATTTAAATCCAGTATTTACTTTTAATATTACCGATATGTCATCGAAAAGAAAACGTGTTGTATTATAATTAAAAGACAAATTAAAGTATTTGTTTCGATTATCCGGACTACTTTCATCCCCAATTAGTCCGGATAATCGAGGTTCTACTGTATTTAGATTTGTCACTATTAAGTTTACCAATAAATAACAACAAATATAGCTGGATTATGATTTCCAAAATTGCAATCATCAGAAATTTAAAATAATTGCTCATAAATGAGTCTATTACCTCCTGAAATGAATATTTTTATTCAGGCCAGAAAATTCTTTAAATTTATACATATTTAATGAAAATAACTTTCAATACTAAATGATTTCATATATGTTATTGAAACTGAACAATTTGTTTATGATGTGCATTTAAGAAATCATCTCAAAATTTTTAATGCAATATTTAGCATCATATCTTATACTGATGAATAAAAATTAAATAAATTAATAAACTTTGTTATCAAAAGAAGATTGAAAATAGCCCTAAATTGAAAAAAGTAAGTTACTAAGTTAAACAGCACTTACGGCCAGGAAAAATCTTCCTATCAAAATACAAATCAAAAGATACATTTAACTGTGACAAATCAGGTTTATATTTTTTTAAATGTTAATAATCTTTCTTATGTACATCATGAAGAATACAGTTTTGGCTTTAAAATCTCAAAAGAAAGAAGAATAATTTTTCCAAATAATAACAGATATTTGGCTGAAGATGTAAACAACTCTGATATATTGATGATGGATGACCTGGTAATCAATCCACAAATTTAATGGTAGTGATATCAAGACATGTCATATTATGAGTTATCAAATCACAGAATATCAGAAAAACAAAAGATTCTAGTATATTATTTGAAATTATCATTATTGGTTCTGTGTATAAATTTTCTTAACTTAATTTTTAAATTATTAATTAATTACATTGTTTTTTTATTAAACAGTTTTCTTTCATCATCCAAATAATTCAAAAATAATAAGATCCTTAAAAAGTTTGGACCAATTTTTCTAGGTTACCTGCAATGTGATGATGTGTTAAATTCATTTTAAAATATTCAAACATTGAAAACTCTCTATGTTAAACTAGGTAGCCTGACAGTTCAATTAATGTTAACTCACTTAAAATTAAAATTGTTTAAATTTTTTAAAAGCAAGTAAATTAATAAAACAAAAATTAATGAAATTACTAAAAACATTAAAATAAATTTAAATTTGATTATCTTTTGTGTGAAACAACACTAAAACAATTTCTATAGTTATGTCACAAAATAAAAAAAGTTGTAATTAATTTTAAAAATTGTAATTAAGGGTTCAAAAAATGCAGGCAAAATTAAATAAATAATAATAAATTAATAATTATTAAAAAATAATTATAAAAACTAAAACTAAATTAATACTAAATAAATTAAACCTAAAAATTAATTAAAAGTAAAAATAATCATTAAATTTAAAAGTACTAAAATAATAATTAAACTTCTGGCCTTTACACCAAAACCAAAGTAGAAAACACATTGTTTTCTACTTTGGTTTTGGTGTAAAGGTGTTTGCAGTTGAAAAACACGTCAAAGAGAACAGTAATAACGTTGTTTACAGTAAAATCATGTCAAGACGAATTATTTATTTACAGTTAAAAAAAACACGAAATAAATATTTTCAGTGATCATTTAAAAAAAACACAAGAAAGAAAAAGTGGCTTCAGTCGCAGAAAAAAAAATCTGCGAAGATAACATCTCTTTAATTACAGCCGAAAAAATTAGCGTAGAAAAGACTAAAATGTCTTGATTTTCGGCATGTCCAATTAACAGGAACAACATCTTCTATTGAAGAAACGATCTTAGATTAAAGGCTACGCCTCTACAAAATAGGCAAAAACAGGTGAAAAAGTTCATATGTGGCAAGAAAAAACAATTAAAAAATACATAATTTCTTTTTAAAAAATGGCTGATTTTTAAAACTGGTTTTGAATGTTTTGGCAGAGGCGTAGCCTTTAATCTAAGATAGTTTCTGCAATGGAAAACCGTTGTTCTTGCTGATTGGACATGGAGAAATTCAAAACATTTTAGTGTTTTTTACGTATTTCCTTCAATTATAGTTGAAAAATTCCATCATTAAAAATAGAATCTCTTTAGTTACAGACAAAAATCACAACACAGAGAAAAATAAGTTATCTTACCAGGATAAAAGCCTCTTTACTATTAATTGTTTCTGCAGTCTGAACTGTTGTAACACTTTGAGTTACATAACGTATTGACTCGTTTTCAATTCTATTGATTTGTTGAACACTTGGNTATTTTTCACATTAAACTGCTAAATTCTGGTAACCATATTCCTTAATGTTTGTCAGTTTATATGTTTTATAGCTCTACTTTAAATGCTGAAAATGGCTCTACATTCAGCCATCATCAGCATACAATAGCTTAATTAATAAATTAATTGAGCTATTGTATGCCCTTTATTAATAAATGTCTGTCAATTATCTAAATCAAATATGGCACTATCATTGAGATAAACATTATACATTTTCATGCTAAAATATTTCCATTTGTAATTATATAAAATTTTAACAGTTTGTAACAAAAAATGTGTTTACCTTACATTTTTTCATAATGTAGTTGAGAAAAAAATTTTGTTTCAGAAAATATTATACTGGACATGCATAATGAATGCATATAGAATTTAACAAATTTATGTTTATAAAATAAAGAATATTTACATTTGTTAAAATTTCTTAGAAAAAAAAATGGCAAAATAAAACAAATAAAAACTATTACATATAACTTATAATAATTATGTAATTTTGTTTACTTCTAACAATGTAATAATGTTTTATTTTCTTCTATATAATGTATACACAATTATATATTATTAAATACAAAAACAAAATTAACCTAATTTTCTTTATACAGTTTATATTGTCGTGTCTCATTTCAAATTGTTTCTGGACTAGATTGTCATAATTAGAATTACAATAACAAAATATACACAATTACTAATTATTATTGTGAATATTTACAATTAATAGATAACCATAGGTTTATTATTGTTATCCTAGATTCAATAAAAAATATATCAGATTTTTATACCAATACCATTAAAAATCTTCACATGATTTAATCAAATGTAAAATTAGGTATAAAAAACAAAAACTTCAAAGGAAATAATTCTCTTGTAAAGAACTAATTTCATATTTTCATATTCTTTTTAATAAAGAACATATTTAATGATTACTATTTTTATAATTGTTATTGATCCTAGAATAACTGAATTATGGTTGTTAAACAGTAAGATAACCATTAAAAAAGAAGAGAAGAGGAAATAATTAAAATGTATATTTTTCACATATCATGAAAGTACTGTCAAGTAAATAAATTAATTTAATAACAATTCTTTAAATAATAAAAACAGAAAGACAATTTATAAATTTTATTTTAAATACAAATTTTAAACAGAAATCTGTTATAAATTAAGGTAAAAAATGAGTATATTATTTAATCAGTATTAAAATCAGAAACCAAATTATAACAATTATCTTTCAATACAGTACCTGTGAAATTTTTTATCATCTTTAGAAAAGAGCATTCTCAAAACATAACTTATCAAATAAAGTTTGAATAAATAATCGGCATTAAAAACTAGTTTTTGCATAACAAAGGCAAAGATACTTGATGTGATAAGCTGAGATTTTAAAATATTCTTGCCCAAAGATAAGAATAATTTTACAAAAACATTAAAAAGTATTCATTGTTACCATCTAAATTCTTGATTTTATGTTGGATCTTAGATATCATTAATTCAAAATGAACTCATTAAGAAAATCAATCAAAATTAAAAATAATCACAAATTATTTTTTAATGAGTTCTTAATGTATATGTTTCTCAACTTAATATGTAAAAAATAAAAGTATTCATATATTTATTAACTATGAGACATTATTTTTTTATCTTACCTGGTGCTTGTATGCATGGATATGGAGGTGGTGGCTTGATCCAGGTCCCATCTAATGCAATCATACGTGAACGATCAGAAGAGAAAGTTTTCATAAAAGTCTCTGCTAGCATTACTCTAAATGACCTAGAATTAAATAAAATAAAATAAGAATAATAATTAAAATATAATATTATTAACAAATTTAAATATTCAATTTTATACCTGTGATATTCTAATTTCAAAATATCGTCAGAACGAAACGTTTGAAGAAAATATGTATTAAAAGATGTGGGAAATGGTAAGAGACTATCCAAATCATAAACCAAAGCTTCACTATTATCACAAGGTTTATGAATAAATATGACATGATAATCCTAAAATTTTAGAATTTAATTAATTAATATATAATTACAATATCACATATTAAATTTGCTAAATGTGAATTCAAAAATTTAATTATTATTAAAATATGATTTTAGTAAGCATATTTAAAATGCCTAAACTTTAAATTTAGAACTAAACTGTTTGATGGCAATAAAAAATTTGCAATTACACAGTTAATTCTTAAAAAAGTCAAAATAGAAGGAATAGAGAAATGTCAAGTTTACAAAATTCAAGTTATAGAATGACTCCATCACTTTAATGAGAAAAACAATTATGATTCAAGCAATACAATTAAAATTAAATATGTTAGATTTTTATTACTATTTTATTTTTAGTTTTCAAAATGTTCTACTTGCTTTGCAGCTCCTCAGAGTACTCACTAGAATATCAAATTCTTTCACAGTTAATTATGGACATATTTTCTGTTATCAATAAATCTTTAGTTTTCACTTCCACTCCATTTCTGTTTACTTCAAAATGAAAATGGCCCAGTACCTGATTACTGCTCTTTGGTACAAATGGCAATGTGTACCTACAATGTATAAATTTTATAGCCAAATTTGTGTATGTGTCTAGTTCTAAGAAAACTGCAGACAATGCATTAGGTGTAATTGACTAATAAAATCAATCAGATATCAAAACACTTGTTTATTACATTTTGTAATTGTTACAGTTTTAAATTTTCAAAATAATTTTGTAAATTTAAAAAGAGGGCACTTATTTTCTGTAAAATTTTATTCTTAAATTTAAATTGGCCAATCAAAACATTATGTTAGGTGTAAATGTCAGAATTTTTTGGCTTTTTGAATTGTGATTTCAGATGTAATAAAGTGTTACAAAATTTGTATGTTATCAAATATATATATATATATAATTAAATGCTTGTTTTTATTTCACATTTATCTTAATGTAGTCCATCCTCTTCAAAACACAATAGAAAGTATACAAAATCAGACATGAACTACCTTCACCAGAATCTTAAATTTCAAGTTAGCGAAATAACTTCAGAACTGTTTTGTGTGCCTACAAAGGCACACAAAATGATTTGAGTTTATGAGTTATGCTGAGATAAAAATAAAATTCAACTTAACAAGTGATTCAATTTAAAGAAGTTCCACTTATCAAGAGCAAACTGTACTAAATACAAAATGTTTGCATAAACTAATTATTAAAATGTTAAGATTATTTACTAATAATCAAAATATCATATAAAAAGATCAAATTTGCAAGAGTAAATTTTCTATCAGTGTTCCCAGTTAAATTTCATGCAAAACCTAATTATATAATCATATAACTAATCTTTAAAATTTACATTATACTCTATTTAAATCAGAAGTATTACTTAAATTTAAAAAGTTTATACATCAGTGTATTTATTTATGGATAGAAAAATGTCTACAATTTATTTATTTACTTATTTACGGATAGAAAAATGTCTACAAAAATGTTCCTTTTCACACATGACATGATTGGTCTACCCACCCCAACCTAATCTCCATGTATACAAAGTGTCTATTTATTGTTAATGCTCATTCCCATTCATTTGCCAAGTATATTTTATTTTAGTTTTATAATTTATATTATTTTACTGTTTTTTTTTTATTTACTTTCTTCTCACTTGTTTATAATGCATTTATTTATTGTTATTATTTAGTCACTCAATGACCTGACATAACAAACTTTGTCCAACTTTTAAATTTAAAATTTAATGTTCTGTTGATTTCCATTTGGTTTCATCCTGACAAAAATTAAATTGACTAAACTGAAATTTGAGTGAGAATTAAAGTTACTTATATCAACAAAGCAAACTAAACCAATTTCCAGCATAAAAATTATGAGAAAACAAACATTTTCAACTGTGTTAAATGGGCATCTTCAGGCTAACTGAACCTTCACAGGTGTTAAAATAAAGGAGATTGCTATCACTTGTTAAGAGGAGTGATGTAAGAGAGAGAGCAGGAGAGGGTTGTAAGACTACAGATCATAGATTGACTTCTACACAAGGGGGAAGGAATCTCTGTCTTAAATATTTAGAACAGAGATTTACAAAGCTATAAACTTTAAATATGGAGATTCTTTCCCTCTGCATGGAATCAATCTATGATCTGTAGTCTTACAACCTATCTCCTCCCTCTCTCTCTCTCTCTCTCTCTCTCTCATGTCACCCCTCTTAACATGTGGATGGTAATCCTCTTGTTTTAACAGCTGTGAAGGTCAGTTAGCCTAAAGATGCCTGTTTAATATGGTTGAAAATGTTCTTTTTCTCATAATTTTTGTGATGGAAATTGATGTAGTTTGTCTAGTTTATTAAATATATCTACTTTTGCATTGTTTATTGTTACTTATATCTTCAAATATTTAATAACACCCATTTTATCACCCTATCTTCATTTCCGAGAAGATAAACATATGACTTTTCTAATTACTTATTGGTAATTTTGTATCAGTATCTTTCTAAAAATAATTTGCATATTTTATCACATATATCACTAAATGTTTTAACTAATATCTATTATACTGTATAAATTCATTTTGCAAAATAAAAAAAAAAATTACAAATTTTGTAACCAATTGTGTTTAAACAAATTTAAAACAAATATTCAATTAGAAAAACAAGGATTCCTAGGAATACAATATTAAAGCTGTTTGAAAAGTGCTAGACATCAATACAATGGAGTAAAAGTAAAGAAAAAAGTTAATGCTGGATTTAAAAACTCCCATTGAAATGAATAATTAATATTTAATGATTGAGCAAAAAGAAGGATTAGAAGGAGATCCCATAGAAAAAAAGAAAAGCAAAAAGTGTGGTATTCTAAGCAAACAGAGAGCATAAGATATCAATAAAATTATCTTTATGAACATCTTCAGTACTGGCTAGGAGTTACTGTAACCCAAAAGACCTTTTTACAGTCAATTTTTAAATAGCAAAGAGTAACTAAATCAATGTTCAAAAATATTACCAATATTAAAATGCTTATTTCAGAAAGCTAAATATTTTATTGAATAACCCATTTTCATCCTGATCTAAGATAAAAACACTTATTATTATTCAATAAAAGACTTGGCTTCCTAAAAAGTAAACATTTTAGTATTGGTAATAATATGATGTAAGGGATATATGAAGTAGTTGATGTTCAAAAATATTCACAAATAATACAAGCACATGCTACATTGGAAAAAAATCAGTGACACTGGGTTCTTTCCTTAAGAAAACAATGAATCTTTAATCTCAGTTGTCTGCAGAAATATAAATTTCCACTTCATTTTCTGAAGCAATCTGAAAGTAGCTGAATTTTTCATTTATTAGAAAATTTTTAATATATGGAGCACACAATACTTTAACTTGGAAATATCCATTGATTTCTAATTCTGTGATCATAAGACATTTGAGAATTAGGAAAACTTAATCTATCACATAAAAATATTAACAAATTTATTTAATTTGCTGTTCTAAAAGATTGTTTGTTTGGTATATTTTGTAAATAATAGTGAAATAAATTAAAAATTACCTTAAAATTATTTAAAATTCTAAAAAATATAATATTAAAATTTTAATAAATTCAAATAAGAAAATGTTTAAAGAATTTGAAAATCAAGAATGTATCAGTTCTAATATAGACAGATGCATTAATTAAAATTTTAAATTTCAAACATATTCAAATGAAAAATTTGATAGTCTTAATTTGCATTTAATTTTTATGTTTGGAGTAATTATGAAGAAGCCCTCATAATTACTCTAAACATACATTCCTCATCAATAATGGAAATTTGCAAAGAGCTGATATAAATAAAATCTATTACCACTGATCTTGGCATCCCCATCCACTGATCATAAGATTCAACTCAACATAAAAACTTAGGTTAAAAGAAAAAACATTCTTTTGCATACACCTAAAGTCTTTAAAGAAATAACTTTTAATAACAAGAAAAGCATTTAAATTAGAACGTTTAGCATTATAATTATATCAAACATTTTTTGACCTGATGCAGATCATAAGGGGATCAAAAACATTTGTTGTAATGTATTTAAATTAAATTATATTTGCTAGTATAGTTTAAAGGTTTTAGAGGTGTTATTTAATAACAAGGAAAGAACAACAGAAAGTAATTTCAGCCAATGTTTAAATTTAACCAAATCACATATCGATTATTAAAAAATGATAAAGATGATGCTGATCTTCAACAAACTTTGTTTTTCATCAGAATGATATATACCTTCAAACATTTCAATACTTCCTGATCTCAAAATCTTAGTGTCAAAGAACATCAGTATGACTCTGGAAAAAAGTTTTTCATTCAACATTTCTTTCTTTCAACATTTGCAGCCCAACAAGATAATGTGGTTTGTTAGAATAATGTCATCATAATCAAGCAGGTTACTCTGTAGTTAAGTAAGAAGTACTGGAGATCAGTAAATACAGTATAAAAGGAAGGTGCATAAATCATTGGAATATCAAGAATATATTTGATGTACAGAGGCTACTGTATTACTAAACTGTCTTACATAAATATAAGTAATAAATTTTTACATCATATTTTATGTAATCTTTAGTTTTTTTTAAAATATGCAATGTCAAATAAATTAAATTTTTCAATGTATTTGAATGAAATATATGCTATGTTCTTATACTCAAATAAGTTTTTGAATCAATGTTCTAAAATTTCATAGTTAACATAGTTAAAACTTGATGAAAACTAATTGAATTACTTGGAAATATTTGTTTGTGCAAGAAATTAAATATTGGAAATCAAAGGCTTATTTCTCACATTAATAGCAACATTTTATAAACTGCATTTATCATTTTTATGACTGACAAACTATATATTATGTAAAAACAAAATTGGGCACCAAACAAAAGCATAATATTTAGGATTGTATAAAATGCACCTATAAAGAAAACATAATATTTTCTTTTGTAATAGACATATTTCAGTTAATATGGAGAGTTGTTTATGATCTGATAATGAGACTTAAAAACTAAAGAAAATTATCTGAAATAAATTTAATACTTTTTAAACTAGTAATTCTCAATGCAAAATGTATTGAAGACAGATTTTTCAAATGTTCTATCAAGGACCAGAAGTAGAATAAATTTATTTTTATATACAATTCTTTACTCATCAAAATAAATCAAATCAAATGAACTAACTTAATCACAAAATAAAAAACTGAATGGGTTTTTATTAAATACATAATTCAACATATATAATAAATACAAACAAAAAAATGACCAACATAATTGTTTTTTTCACATTGAATAATGTTTTGATTCTGGAAACTCTACTTAAACTGTTTACTATTATTTACTTCTGTATATTATTTGTACCAAATATTAAAAATGGTAAAGATAATTGCAGTGTCAGATGAATTTACATTGTGATAGTGACAAAAATGTATAATCATAAAAGTGGAAATTAGCCTTTTACAAAAGTATTAGTATATCAATTTTTTACAAGATAATTAATATTTAAACATACCCATATTGTTAAACCATCTTCATTCTGTGATGCACCTTGTTTCCATAAAGGTACCTGTAATGTATCATGATTATTAATTTTCAAAACTATTGCTTTTCAATAAAAATAATACAATTAAATATTTAACAAAACTTACAGTTTGATTCCTATTTGAAATAAATACTACAAAACAATTAGGCAATAAATTAGGTTGTGTGTCTTTAACCTTTTCACATAGTTTCCAAACATTTTCTTCACTTCATGAAAAAAATAAAAATATAATCAGATGAATTTTAAAACACAAATTCATTACTGAACTTAAAAATTTGTTCTAAAATCAGAAAACTAATTACACACAATTTATTAAGCTTATTTCAAAAAAGGTTTCAACTTATTGTAATTACAATCATCTTGAAATGTAACAAAGTTATGAAACAATGGGAAACATATTAGTCCAATATTTGTAAAAAGGAAAAACAGTATTTGAGAATTTCTAATAAAATAACCACTTTTTTTGCATTACTTTGTTAGAAGAAATGCTAAACAAGTCTTTATGAAATAAACTGTACTGTACATCTGTATAGGCAAATTGAAATTATTGTAACAATTTAACAAAAATTAATATGAATAATTTATTTTTCTATAACTTCTATCACTATTATTATTATTATTATTACAGTATTACAAAATTAATCTTGCTATCAAAATCATTTTCTATAAGTTTTTACCGTTCAATCTTTTTAATTCAAACACCAGGAATAATCCAAAAACTTTTGAATTGCAATTTTTTTCAAAATTAAGCTACTTTTATGCAAATTACTAGTGTTCATAGGTATTTCATGTTCTTTGATGATATCACATTTTTTTCTTTACTTTCTTTTCCATTCCTTTATTAACTTTACCTATTTTTAAGCTAGAAGATATAATTGTGTACATAACACATATTATAAAAGTACATTTTTTTTTTCATTGGATGGTCATCATTTCCCTATACAGGGATCAGAGTCACCCTTGTCCCGCAAATAGCACCACAAGGGGGAGTCGACCCCTCTAAAACACTGTTAATAATTCCGTTTTATACGAATTTCATGTTCTACGAGTCACTTAGATTTTACAAATACGTGAGCCGTTCACAGTCTGGCACACGTATTTGTAAAATCTAAGTGATTCGTACAACATGGAATTTGTATAAAATGGAATAATCAACAGTGTTATAGGAATTCAACCTTATAGTTTTATAATATTAACTAAAGTTGTTTGGTACCTAGACATTACAAAACAAGTTTTTTGATAATGCCTAAGTGCCAAACAACTTTATCTAGATGCAAATGTCACTAAAACAATGAAACACATGAAAAATTTTTCCATGTCCCAGAAATTTACAGAAAATGAATATTTTAAGAAATTCCTAAACCACATGCATCCTACAAACCAGTAGACTACATATTTTCTTTTTGCCAAACTTCATTTTCAAAATAAAATATATACTACTTTTGAATTATCCAAATTCTATTTAAAACTTAGATAATTTTAAGCACCTGAAAAATATATTAAAACTGAACATATTTTTTTTAACATTAATTTAGATATGAATTGCAAGGGAAATAAAAGCAGATTTAATTTACCCAATAAATGGAATTAGATTCAATAATATTATATAAAATATTTTATTTAATTAATAATTACAATTGACATGTCTTGACAACAGTAAAAGATGCTTCCCCAAAACAAATATGCATAATTTTATAATATAGTACCAAGAATTTTGCAGTTTGAAAATCTAGAAAATAACAATTCCATAATTCTATGTCAACAAAACACAGATTCAAATATAACGATACCTCAGTTTCTGTTGATAATCTGTCCAAAAACAAATCAGCAAAATCCAAAACCAACGAAAACCAAAGCAATTATTTCCATGTGAATCAATGTAAATCCGATTAATTTATTCTAGACACTCCAAAATACATTTTATAGAGAATAAATATAGTGTTTAATACTAAAAACAATAAGAAATTAATATAAAATGAATATAAAAGACTGATGTAAAGAATAATTGGAATAATTGAACATTTAACATGCCATTTGATGAGCTGCTGGCTCTGGAAACTTTCTTTGGTCCCATGATGGAGCTAAAAGGAAAAGAAAGCAATGGAACTGTTTGGCTAGACATGCGGAGTAATGATCACACAATGAGAAACAACGCCACACTGAGCATGAAAATGCATGGGTTGCCCTTTGTTTTCACAAAATTAGTGGTGAGGTCATGTTGGCACACCAACAAAATCCGAGGCAACTAATGAAAACCAAGACAAATTTTTTGCAGAAAAAAATCAACTAAAACCAAAACCGACGATAACCAAAGTAAACAAAAACCTGTATTACTGTATATTGCTTATTTATCAGAAATATTTTCAAACTATCTCGATTCATCAACAGCTGATTTTAGAAGAGCAAAATAGAGTAACAACCAGGACCACAAAGAAGGGAAAGCTAAAGAATTTTCCCAGACCCAGATGAAAGTTAGGGGCCCTTGGTGATTCCTACTCATACAAAATTTGTTATTTTCATTAATGGAAAATAAAATTTTTAAGATGTTTTTCCTTAATAAAAAATCACAGAACTGCACACCACCTATGCTACATTGGGGCAATGGTAAGATTGCCAAATGCAAGAACAGTCTATGTATTTTGTTAGTTCAAGAAAAACAAGCTAAAAACAGTCCAGTTTATCTCTGGCCCTAAACAAGCTCTCAACAGACCTGTTAATGAATTCTACTTTGTAATTCTTGTATATTATTTTGTAATCAATAATATATATATATATATATATTAATGTAATTGTACTTGTGCCAAGTATACTGTACTTTTACACAGAAATGTATAGTTACTCATTGCATTTATTTGATCATGTTAACTAAACAAACACATTAAAATAAATCAATAAGGACACAATTTATAAGTATTTTACTAAATTACATTTATCATATAACTATTTTAATTTCATAATATTTAAACATCAAAACATTAATAAATATTAAATAAGTAACTGAAATTTTAATGTTTTGGTTGAGTTATTCATAATTAATGAGCATCCACATATACATTTATTCATTACAGAAATAACACACATTAATCCGTGTTGATCTGCATTTAAATACTTACCAATAACACGATGTATACATACATTCAGAACGAGCGGGTAAGGTTAACTTCTGCAACGTTTCTAATTCAAACATTTCTAAAGAAACTAAACAGATTTATTATTCATATGTCAACACCATCCTCTTCCAATCAAAGACAAATCGCCACCTATCGGAAAATATTATTACATAATTTTCTTTTAATAATTAAAATTTTCTGTATAAAAAATTTGATAATTTATTATTTTTAAAATAATTCCTTTTTGATTTAAAATAATAATATATTATTAAACTACTGTTATGGCTTGAGAGCTTTTATAAGAAATAATTAATATCGGATAGAGGACACAATCGTGGCATCGGATTGTCATCCTGTTTGAAAGTAATAATTGTGAAAGAAATTCCTTAAAAGAATTTAGTTTCAATTATCAAAAGGAAAGAAAGATGAACGATGTGAGAGTGTTGTTTTCGTCCTTCTATTGGGTGATTTTTCTGTGGATCAATTGTTATAACGATTTTATTTGCCAATTCAGAACGCTATACAGCTCACTGGAAGGCTGAAAACTTCACAAAATAATTTAATCCAATTTTGTAAATTTCTTATATTCTCTTATATTCAATCATAAAACAAAAAATATAAGACTTAAAGTCTCAGGAAATGAGTAACAAGTAAATAAAATCATTCTTTATCATAGGTCGAAATCGCATTTCTGTTTGATTCGGCTGTCTTTGTGATATAATCTATCAGCAATACTTTAAATGATATTCCTTTGAAAAACAATTAAGATACTTTCAAAACTAATAATTTTTTAAAATAATTAAAAAATATTACGTGACACATTACGCAAAAAAAATTACTTTTGTTAGACCTACGGGCGAGAAGTAGACAAACAAAACGGAATTAAACAAACCAAAAATACAATAAGTTTATTTACTTGCCAGGCTGATGCAGGTTACAAAGGATACCAACTTAACCATATCCACCGAATGAAACACACCCTTAATGAACCACCGAATAATATAATACGCGACAAGAAAGTGCGCGTGTAGTTCCTGTCCGGCCCGATCGACTAATCCCTTAATTAAACTACTTTCTTTCTAGATATTAGTATTGAATAGAATAGGTTTATCAGAAGGTTTGGAAGATGAAGACAAGAGATAGGACAGAGGGTAACCGAACTTGATAATTGGTGCTCCCTGCAATGGTCGATGCGTCTTGTTTCTTTCTTCTTTTTCGATGGTGTTTATATGGAGATTATAGCTCAATGTAGGCTCTTTCTCCGAGTAGACTTGTGTATGTGTATGATCGCTAGGCGACCGATTAGCCGGCTGTATCGAACAGCCATACGTACGCGCGGGAAATAAATGCCTTCCGGGAGGACTTTTATGGGGAACTGGCCTCCTATTCAGTCGTTATAGGCAAGGAGAAAACCCGGAAAACTCCAAGCAGCCAGCCTGTCCGACCGTGGCGCGAACCCACGACGAACCTCCCAGTCTTTAGGGTCTGGTCACCACTACGATGAGCGGCAACGGAGACCACTCGCC